AAGCACTTCGGTGGGTGAAATACATTGAGCTGTCTCACCTCCTGTGGAGTCAGCGCCCCGCTAATGCTCACGAACGCCAAGCGGGGGCCCCCCGCAAACACCCGCCCTCCACATCCTGCGGCAGCTACATCTGAAAAAGCCCCTAAAATAAAATCAGAGGTGCTTCATGCTCTCCTGTAGCTCCACATCTGAGGAGCTGCTCTTTCTGTGGACATGTTCCGGAGGCTGGAGGATGTCGGCGTGTCACAGCGACAGGAGAGCGACGAGACAAGAACTGTGTTTCCGCAAAAAAAAAAAAGAAAAAGAAATTAGAGTAAGGTATACTCCGTTACACCTCATACTTGCAAACAAAATTCTGCGGTAAACTGGAGGCCAAGTAGGATGAAATGGTGAAAAGAATCACAAGAGGCAGCATAGCAGAGCAAGGCGGTTCCAGGTGTGACCAGAGGAGGCGCTGTGGAGCTGAGGACGTCGCTTGGGTGAAGTCGACAGAGTCATCAGGGAGCCCAGTCCAGTGATGGATGCTTGATTGGGCGTGAAGGCCTGCTCTTATTTGCCTTTCCGTCTAAAGCCGGTGTTTCACGGATACTGTATCCATTCTAGCGCCTTTTAATTGCCGTGGTTAAGCCCTTGTCTGAAGTAGACAATGGCTGCAGGCTCTGGTGAGCAGCTGACAGCGGGGGGGGGAGCTGGCTCATTCCAGCCAAATCCAGGCTTGCCAAGCATGAATGGTTAAGGAGAAAGTCTTCCTCTGTCCAGTAAGCAGACTGACTGTGCTCACCGTGGATGACTGTATTCCAATTTGTTGCAGTTATGGCCGAAATTATTGGCACCCCTGGAATTTTTCCAGAAAATGCACCATTTCTCCCAGAAAATTGTTACAATTGCAAGTTTTTTGGTATACACATGTTTATTTCCTTTATGTGCATTGGAACAACACAAAAAAACTGACAAAAAAAGCCAAATTTTACTAAATTTCAGACAAAACTCAAAAACTGGGCCGGACAAAATTATTGGCACCCTCAACTTAATATTTGGTTGCACGCCCTTTGAAAAAAATAACTGAAATCAATCACTTCCTATAACCATCACCGAACTTGTTACACCTCTCAACTGGAATTTTTTACCACTCTTCTTTTGCAAACTGGTCAAACTGCAAAAAGGTCTCTCAGATTTGAAGGGTACCTTCTCCCAACAGCAATTTTGAGATCTCTCCATAAGTGTTCAATCGGATTTAGATCCAGACTCATTGCCGGCCACTTCAGAACTCTCCAGTGCTTTGTATTAAACCATTTCTGGGTGCTTTTAGAGGCATGTTTTGGGGTCATTGTCCTGCTGGAACACCCATGACCTCTGACACAGACCCAGCTTACTGACACTGGGCCCTACATTGTGCCCCAAAATCTTTTGGTAGTCTTCAGATTTCATGATACCTTGCACACAGTCAAGGCACCCAGTGCCAGAGGCAGCAAAACATCCACAAAACATCTTTGAACCTCCACCATGTTTGACTGTAGGTACCGTGTTCCATTCTTCGTAGGCCTCATTCCATGTTCTGTAAACAGTAGAATGATGAGCTTTACCAAAAAGCTCTACCTTGGTCTCATCTGTCCACAAGACGTTCTCCCAGAAGGATTTTGGCTTCCTCAAGTACCTTTTGGCAAACTCCAGTTTAGCTTTTTTATGTTTCTGTGTCAGCAGTGGGGTCTTCCTGGGTCTCCTGCCATAGCATTTCATTTCGTTCAGATGTTGACGAATAGATAGAGCTGACACTTGCACCCTGAGTCTGCCGAACAGCTTGAATTTGTTTAGAAGTTGATTGGGGCTGTTTATCCACCATTCGGACTATCCTTCGTTACAGTCGTTTTTCTCTTCCATCCACATCCAGGGACATTAGCTACAGTGCCATGTGTTGTAAACTTCTTGATTATGTTGCGCACAGTGGACAAAACAACATGAAGATCTCTGGAAATGGACTTGTAGCCTTGAGATTGTTGATATTTTTCCACAATTTTTGTTCTCAAGTCCTCAGACAATTCTCTGCTCTTCTTTCTGTTCTCCATGCTTAGTGTGGCACACACAAACACACAACAGAAAGGTTGAGACAACTTTTCTCCATTTTAACTGGCTTCAGGTGTGATTGCTATACTGCCAGCACCTGTTTCTTGCCACAGGTGAGTTCAAACTAGCATCATATGCTTGAAATAAACCGATTTACCCACAATTTTGAATAGGTGTCAATCATTTTGTCCTGCCCATTTTTGGAGTTCTGTGTGATATGATGTCAAATTTGACTTTTTTGTGTTGATCCTGTGCACTAAGAAACAAATATGTGTATACCAAAACATTTGTAATTGCAACAATATTTTGGGAGAAATGGTGCATTTTCTGGAAAAATTCCAGGGGTGCCGATAATTTTGCATCCCCCCTTCCTGGATTGAGCAGCGTGGTAAGGTGTCTTTCCTCTTAAAGCCAGAGAATCATTGCTGTATTGTCATTTAATCAGTGTTGATATAATTTAATCTGACCACCCCCCCTAACATGACAGATGATTGTTTCATTGGAAAACACTCCCCCCCTCTCAATCAAGATTTATGCTTTAACTCAAGTCCATAGCCAAGACTTTGTTCTGGAACCAGGAATTTCTGTCGCATTCCCACCACAGCAATTCGGCACAATTGTAGTTCCGCTGAGGTAGTTACAGAACCTGACTGTAGTCGCTACTCTGGACTAGCTACTTAGAGTCGAGGCTTACAGCGATAAATTGATTGGTCAAGCTGATTGGTTATAACTCAGAAGTTATATGGAAATTTTAGGAAAAGAGCTAAAGGGGGCAAAAAATGAGCAGTTGGAATTATTTTTGTACGCAGTTTCATTAAATGCATTAATGAATACCTTTTTGCTTGCGTCTCCATGTATCAGAAAATCGATAACCGATGTATACTTTTCTGTAATATTGCTGATGCAGCAGTGAAACTTGCCAACACTTTTGTGTCCCTTAATAACTAACAAATAATTAACACTTAAATTGAGTTCTTTATCCTCCATTGCTTTGGGGTGGCGGTGTAGTTTTGTGTGAAATTACGTGCTTAAGTAGCATAAAGGTCACAGTTCCTGTTGCACGGTTGGGAAGGTGACACACGAAAGTCGAGACAGCCAGGAACTCAGAACCAGGAAGTGGCCTTCAATAGGAAAGCGCCTCTTGTTTTATCCCACGAAGGGAGCCTCTGTCTATGCGGTATATAAGTAAGGTTTTTGGTCAAAAGTCAGGGCTACAGAGGAGACAAAGTCGGGTCCCGCAAGACATATTCCAAAGTTTATGAATTAGATTCTGAAGCACGGAAGCTTACTGCATATTAGGCGATACAGATATCCCCACTGATGCAGTTAAATGAGATATACTACTTTCTCGAAATTTAGAAGCTGTAATGCGAGGAGTGGCCAGATCCGTGTGAGACTGGCGTGGGCATCAGATCCGTGCGAGACTGACGTGGGCATCAGATCCGTGTGAGACTGGCGTGGGCATCAGGGAGAAGCTCAGAGCCTGAGACAGGTGTGGCCTTAGGGATGTAGGCGCTTTGTACAAAAAATATGACAAAGGGAAGCCCCCCCACCCCCCACAATGCGGGGGTGCGTGTTTTCCCTTCCCAAGAAGGTAAGACAAGATAAAAGGCTAAGTGGTATTTGGCAAAGTGGCAGCGTGAAGAAAATCCTGCCTCTCTCCATCTCTCTCCACTTCCCACCTCCATCGGTCTTTTAATGCTGTTCTCTTTTTCTCGCTTGCTCTCTCTCTTCCTTTGTCTATCTACTCCCCGCTCTTCCTCTTCCACTTGTTTTACTGCTGCTTCTCCACCTTCCCCTGCCTCATATGTGGCGGCCTGTCACGTCTGATTCCCGCGCCAGAGCACGCAAATATGCGTCGCTGTCTTTCCAAAGCCACCCGCTCTGTGCTGCTTTTGCCCTGATAAACGCAGCTCTCGCTTACATAACCGACGGCGGCAGCAAGAACGTCCCGTAAGAAACAAAAATGCCACGTTTTTGGTGCAGCACACAAAGGTACCCTTTAAAATCACAGTGAATCACATTGACCTGACACATAGAATGTTTTAAACAAGTATAACATCTCAGTTAATTCATGTGTTAAAAACCTCAGTTGCTGATTTCAATTTTTGGCTTCTGAGATCTGAACTGATTAAATTGTGAGCACATGAAAATATTGCATAAACAGAGATTACAGGATGCCTGGTGATAAATTTTCACTTTTGATCATGTTTTTAAATCCATTTTCTTTCTTTCTTTCTTTATTTCTTTTTCTTAAGTTCTTTCTTTCTTTCTTTTTGCTGTTGTCGTTATTCAGAAATCCCTAGTACACGTTGATGTACCTGGCCAATCAAGTGGATTCATTACATAATACTTTTACTATACTGTAGGAAATTTTTGTAACTGCAAGTTGAACAGTACACAGCTACATATAAGAACAAAAACAGAAAATGCACAGTAACACATATAGCAATTCCTTTTTAAATATAATTTTTTATGACAATGGGAAATGGTAATGAGTAAGTGGGTGAACACAAAAACAAGTACAGTACTGTGGTGAAAAACATACGAATTTAGCTGGTAAAATATTGCACGAAAGTACATAAATAGACAGATATTGATGACAATAGGCAATATTGGCAACTGTGCTTTGAGTGATACAACAGTTGCACAGTTTGATGGCCAGCGAAAGGAATGATTTCCTGAGGTGTTCAGTGGAGACTTTTGTGTATATCAGTAGGTGAATGTGTTCTCCAGTCCAACTGCAACACTGTGAAATGGGATGCAATGTGGTAAAGTGGTTTGGTATTGTAGATGCATAAATCTTTTGATTCTTTGTTTATTTGGGTGTTACAGATCCATAAATGAATCATTTGATTGTTTGTTTGTTTGTTTGTTTGCTTGCTTGTTTGGGTGTTGTAGTATCATGATCAGATCTTTTGTTTGTTTGTTGTTTACAGCTTCACTCCAACTCGGACAAGGGTGACGGCTCCGTCCGCTACATTCTTAGCGGCGAAGGGGCGGGCACGATCTTCGTCATTGATGAAATTACAGGTGACATCCACGCCACCAAGAGCCTGGACCGCGAGCGCAAGACGCACTATGTGCTACACGCGCAGGCCATTGATCGCTACACGGACAAGCCGCTTGAACCCGAGTCCGAGTTCATCATCAAAGTGCAGGACATCAATGACAATGCGCCCAAATTCCCCGACGGGCCTTTTGTGGCCGCTGTCCCCGAGATGTCCGAAGTCGGTGAGTATGAGTGCGTTGCTGTGGAAATGCTTTGCTGCTTTCATCAGCAGGATGGACATCGATAAATCCTGTGATTGGCTCACTGGTGCACCCTATGTGTTTACCTTCCTGGGCAGGGAAGCGTGATCTGCGTGCCGGATGGATGTGGGTTTATACCCCTGAATGATCCACCCTCTGCTCCATCCAAGCCCCTAACTCACTTTAAGACAATTAAGACTGAATCTCCAGTAATGACCAGCGGGATCCAGGATGCTTTTTCTTTTCAACAGGAATTATCACTTTACTAATTTAATTACTTTTATTACTTTTTCGATAGAGAAACCATTTGTAGATGGCTGTGGTGGGCATGGCTGGCAGGCCTATCGTGTCACAGAGTGTCCCTGCGTCATGTGCCCTGTGTGACATGCGTAGCACCTCACCTCCACATGCGTCTCACTCCCTGTCAGCCCTGATAATCAACCATCTCAGAGAAAATGATTGCTTGCTTTTTGCATCAAACATTTCCCCCTATCTGATTTTGTTTGATCTTATCATTAGCATTGATTTGGTTATTTTTATTTCCCTTTAATGTAAGGCCTTCACTTTCCCATGCAGGGTGTATGGATGGCTGGATGGACGGATGGATGGATGGATCACAAAATAAAAATGCATTTTTTAAAAAATAACCAAGTCTCAGAAACATGAATTTTTGGTAAAGGCCCCTTTTATGATTTCTAAAGCTTTTGCAGGCTTTTATGGGCTAAGCCTTCAATTGCTCCAGGGACTGTCTGACCATATTTTCAATTGTCCATCGCTTTGGATAAATGGATCTGCTACATAAACAAATTGCAGCTGTATTCCATTAAAGGACGGGATGTAGTGTTACATCACCGCCAGTGTGTCCACGTTGTGCTCAACTGCATCTCCGCAATGGCGGGAGAGACACAGACATACCGGCCTTTTTATTCTCGTCTTTATTTCTGCTCTTTCCTGTCACATGATCTGATGGAGCATTTTTATTGGCTGCGATGTTGAGACTTACAGACGCACACAGTCCATGTATTCATAACTTTATGGAGATCCTCCATAAATGTCAGATTTTTTTATGACAATTTTGAGACATTTAGTCCCGACAACTTTGTGTCCCCCCCCACCACACACACACACACACACACACACACACCGGTTAGACCTGAAGCAACCCAAAATATGTCTGGATCACTTTAGAAATTATATTGTCTTTTAGCTTACATTCACAGACATAAACTGTTTCCTGCTGCCCTTAGGGGTAATTCTCCAAAACCATTACATGAAATATAATTTATGACGCATTTTACATACGTTTTGATGAAAAAGACCTCGGTATTAATGCCCTGTTATGTTAAGCTTGTAACATCATCTAGTCGACGGGCAGAAAGGTATTTCAAAATATCTTTATTTGCAGACATGTCTTAATTATATATTCATTTATTTCCTTGTTAATTACGCATTAAAACGTAAATGAGACAGATCATGTTTTGCACGCCACGCGGATTAATGCCGAGGGTGAGATCATTCCTGAATATTTTGTAGCAAAAAAGAAAAACAAAAAAAATCAAGAGACCTAAACAGTGATGGCAGTAAAACCTCTTAATAAAAATTTACAAATATTCTCAGAAACGCACACTTCCCCATTCATTTATTCCAGTAGATTGAAGTGCTGTTCTCCTGGGAATCGACCCTATTGGCCGAGGTTCCCAATGCACTGCCTGTTGACCGTCATTAACATAGACATTTGAGCATTATCTCTGACATTGTGGTCAGTCCCCCCCCCCTCCACTCCACCAGCTGAGTGTCTCATCTCACTTGTCTGCTGTGTGTACTGCTACCATTGTATTGTGTTTCTGATTCCCACTCGCGCTTCCATGTGGGTGCCATTACCATGTAATCCCTGTGAACAGGCTGTCTCTTAGGGCCCCGGCAAACGTCAGGGGCCCCAGCAAACATTAGGGGCCCCAGCAAACATTAGGGGCCCCAGCAAACATTAGGGGCATTGTCAGGATAAACGGAAGGGTCAACCTTGTCATTGATGTCCAATCAAGCCCCCCCTCCGTTCATCAAGCTTTATAATGCTCTCTTGTTTCCTTTGCGGAGCCCCCCTCCCCTACCCATGTCAGCCAAATGCCCCCCTGAGAAGTGAATCCACCCTTGTGCTTGCGGGGGTTCCCCCCCCCAAGGCATGCTATTAGGCACGCTGATGTCTCTGACTCACCCCTGGGGTACGAGTTTGCGTGTGTGTGCTCTGGGATGGGCTGGCCTCCTGTCTAGGATGTCCCATTCTTTTGGGGTGGGGCTCTATCTTCCTATGATAGCTGGATTAATGGGGATGGATGGATGGAGGGATGGCCTGTACCCCCTGATCCTGCAGCTGCCCTGCCTGCCCCTGTGTCCGAGCCCTTTCGTGCTCCCTGCTCTGCACCCCAGCTCCTATGTTCTACCCCAGCCGTGAAGTTTAAGTATTTGTTAACAAATAATGAGGTGGCAACTCTCAGGCCATTTTCACCCACGAGGGTCACACCGGAAAAAAAAAAGTCAATTTACCCTGTGAAATGAAACCTTCCTCACACCCCACCACCCTTCCTGCCCCCACCGGGGCCGTCTCTGCATTCGGACGCTGTAGATCTCCACCAAATGATCATGGCTTTTCCGTCCTGGTGTCTTGAGGTCCATGGTGATTTGATCCCTTCTCTAAGGTTCTGTAAAAGTCACCCAATGAGGTCTTGTTATACATTTATTCCTTCTCTGGTCCTGTTAACAGCCTGCACAAGGGTGTCACTATGGCGATGACAGACAGGATGTCAAACAGACGTGTACTGTGCCCTGGCTTAGCCACAGTTAATTAGTAAATTTTCACTTTGCCAGCGACCATTCCAGAGCCGCCAGAGCTGCTGTTATTTTCATCGGTTAGTATTATGGGATGCCTCAGAATCCTGTTCACACTGTGTGTTATTTATACAGCTGTTATGTACGGGAAGAAACGTCGGCTGGGGGACTTGAACACCTAACGCCTGCTGTCGCCGTTAGCGGCTGAGTAGGTGGGGAGTCACATGGGGTATTTCCAGGCGCCACATGCCTGCACGAGCGCTTCCAAAAGGACGTGGGGAGCGAGAGCAAGGTTCTTGCCCGTGAATAGAGCTGGAGAGTCGCTGTTTCCCTCCCCCGGAGTCTGAGTAGCGACAGTCTCGGCAGAAGGCCAAAGCAAAGGCAGACAGCCAGGAAATAACATGGCCATAATAGCGACGCGGTTAGCTATTAGCACCTTAGGCGTGTGCGGGGCCGGATCTGCCTTTTCAGGGGCTCTTGGCAAAGCTTTACTTGGAATGCCCTCCTACCAAGAAAACAAATGATCATTTCCTATGTTTTGCCTAAAGCTACAGCTAAGGTAGCTGCCTAGTTTGCCTATGGCTGGATCCAGCTCTGACCCTGTGATAGAAATAGTCTGGACGCAAATTTATACTGTCTGTGTCATGCTATTTTATCCAAGCTCACTGTTGCCTGCACTGCATTATGGGAAAATGGATGTATGGAATTGTGATTCATTATTATATTGATGTTGATAATATTTAAACGGTTCTTACTTAGTTCTTTTCTACGTGTATTTGCTTTATAAGAAATGCATATGAACAATAAACAGAAGATAAAGGCAATAGTAAATAACGGTATGAAACTGGGAATGATGGTATTCTGCGCCCCTAATGGAAACACAGAGCTGGGAGCTGGATGTTGATGTGAACAATTCTCTCTCACTCTCTCTCTCTCTCTGACTGGATTGCACATTCTATTTCGCACTGGGGGAGCATTTCTACAAGACGTATTGTTAGAGGTATATTTTTGGAAGCGGTTTTATCAGACAGTTTCATTCGTCGCTTCGCCGAGATAATGTTACCCACGTCTGAAAGGACTAAACAGATTACCTCATTGTTTCTACTTACATGCAATCCATTACTCCTTGTCTTCTTTGTTTCCCTCAGTGTAATACGATTGGTCAGCCTCAATTTACAGCTATGGTAGGGATCCAATCAGGCACTCGCCTCAATGGTTGGCCAAGGTATTTCCCATGTAATGGAGTTATCTGAACTGAGATTCCTTGCAGTATTCCCAGCTAAATCATCCTAGGGCAATCTTAGATTAACCCAGCAAGTCATGAATTGAGTCATGTATGTAGGGGCATGTACAGGGCCGGGGACACTAACCCTAGCTGAAAGCTGATTGGTCCCCGGAGTGCCCCCTCCGCTGTCACTCACCGATTCCAAACATGTGACTGGTTAAAGACAAGGTCAGCTCCTCTGAATGAATTATGGCCCCTGTGAGTAGATCAGTTTATACCTTTGTTTCCAGAAGCCCACTACACCTTTCAGTTGGACCCTGCCCCTCTTGCTTTGCTTCCTCCCATCAGCGTGACCCCCCCCCCCCCCCCCCCCCCCCCCCCCCCCTCCCTTCCTCTGCTTGCATGTATAAAGCATAGTGCCCGTCTGGTCCAAAGCCAGACACTGAGGTGTTAATTGTTTCACAAGGCGAATCAGCTCTATCCCGATGGTCCCGGTCCTCCTGCCACCAGCGGTTTGTTTTCACACGAATATTGCGGAAATAAATACGGCCCAGCTCCCTGGATAATCCCATCTGAGCCAGCCAATTTCAGCTCCCGGGATTGTATTAACTGAGAAGAGGTACTGGCCATAAGCCAACGGGAGAGACTGGGAATGGGGATTCCGCAGCCCCATGGGGGTCGGCCGTAGGATCATAGCTGTGCAGTGGTGGAGGAAGTACTGAAGCTTAGTACTTAAGTAAAAGTACAAATATCCTGCAAAATAAGTACTCAAATAAAAGTAGAAGTGCTACATCAACAATCTTACTTAAGTGAAAGTACTAAGTACGTACTTTTAAATTTACTTTAAAGTATTCTTTTAAGTAAAAGTACTCACACAGTGGTTTGTCTCAACGTCTGGGGTGTGCCATTTTGTAAAAGAATAGTAGATATACTGACTTACGCCTCTACCGATGTCATTGCTCGTAAAAATTACAAGCAACTAAACAGTATATGTGTATTGACTCTGGGTCCATGTTGAATGTCTCGTCTTCTTGAAATCAAGCCAGTCAACCAGCTCGTGCTGCTAACTGACGCGCACTTTGCCATCATTGGAGCTAATAAAGCCACCTGATTGGTAGGAAATGGCAAAC